CATCTGTTTCTAGGCGGCCCCTAGGGTGACATGTGGCCAGCACAACGACCAATTGCTTTATTTTCCCCAACTAATGTCAGGTATCTATTACAGGGGCGCCATTAAAATACCGAAATTAAAAATATTCACTGTGATTCAAACCCGGGACCCCTCGGTTCGGAAGCCAAGCGCTTTACCACTCTGCTACCACCCTTAAATCATTACTTACAAACTTACAAATTAAAAACAAATAATAATAATTAAACGAATGAATCACCAAGAAAGATTTTTTTAAAATTATATTCTTTAAGATAAGATGCCATTCCTTATTCCAGAGGTCAGCTTGTTCAAGACCAACTCGATACATGTTTTTTCAACCTATGTCTATATCTGCCATTCACCACATGACAAACAGCAAGTGCAAAATGTCACCACTGTGTATCTAAAAAAAAATGTATGCAAAGTGTGTGTCCCCCGGCACTTGTAACGTGCTACGAAGTGTAGGCAATAAGATCATCTTGAGACAGTCAGATACCAGAAACTAGGATGTGGTAAAGTAAACAATAAAAAAGCAAGACTGGCCATAGTTGGTTCGCACATGGGTGATACGTGACTTAGCTTGCCAAAGGGAAGGTAAAATTAAAATGGTTCACTACTGCAAGGAAGAGGAGAACGCTCTTACAACAGTCGTCTCCCTTTTCCCTCCTCATTACCATTTTTCCCCCTTCCCCCATTCCAATTTAAAAAAAAAAAAAAGGATGTTTACATTTTGAGTGTCACAGCGCATTGAAAGGGATACAACTCTATGTGCTAACCAGAAGATGTAGACCTCTGCTCTGTAGACTTCCTCGAGATTATAATTGCATCTAAAGAATAAAGGGGACCCTTTATATGGAATGTACATATGATCATTATAAATTATCATTATAATCATTATCATAATCATTAAATCATTATAAATTATTAGAGACTGCACGCGATATTGTATGCCTTTACCACCGATATTTTCAATACAATTGATATCCCGCTTCATGTTGCAATCTAATAATTCCAACCGAACTGGGAGGTGTTTTAGATTAGTTTATCTGAGAAACAAATTCAAAGAAATTTTACATCAAATAACCTGCTTAAATGTATAGGAGTAGTCAGTATACAATTCTTCAGATAAACACTAGCCTTGTATGCTTATTTTATAGGCCTTGAGGAATTTAAAAATGAGTATACATTTTCGACAGTTTGAGCGTTTACGGAAAACCCATTGGGAGCTGAACGTACAACAAAATGAATGCGTTTGGCCATATAGCAATGTATGATCCATGTGAAATTCTATATAGGTTTTTATCTCTGCCTAATTGTAGGTACTATTGTGCATACATAATATAACTTATACTTACAACTTTATGTACGTAATATCCCAATGGCAATAGCAAAATGTCCGAATTGCTGGTACAATGATAATATTTATCCAATTAACTTTGAAATTGATTTCCCAGATCTGGATATAGATCTATATATCAACAGAACAAAATGGGCTGCAAGTATCTGGTGAAATTATTTCTTGGTTATCTCCTGCTACCTCCTGCCCGCGCCTCTCCTCTGAAATAAATTAGGCTTGAGTGCAGAGGATAGCGGACCACAGGATGCGCACAGCTCAATGGGGAAGTGTGCGGCGATTCAAGTTGTGTCAGCTGACGTGATGTTACGATCATGTTGAACAAGAGAGTATGTGTGTGTGTGATGTCACGATCATGTTGAACAAGAGTGTAAGTGTGTGTGATGTCATGATCATGTTGAACAAGAGTGTAAGTGTGTGTGATGTCATGATCATGTTGAACAAGAGTGTAAGTGTGTGTGATGTCATGATCATGTTGAACAAGAGTGTAAGTGTGTGTGATGTCATGATCATGTTGAACAAGAGTGTAAGTGTGTGTGATGTCATGATCATGTTGAACAAGAGTGTAAGTGTGTGTGATGTCATGATCATGTTGAACAAGAGTGTAAGTGTGTGTGATGTCATGATCATGTTGAACAAGAGTGTAAGTGTGTGTGATGTCATGATCATGTTGAACAAGAGTGTAAGTGTGTGTGATGTCATGATCATGTTGAACAAGAGTGTAAGTGTGTGTGATGTCATGATCATGTTGAACAAGAGTGTAAGTGTGTGTGATGTCATGATATACATAATAGATATATAGCCTATATACATAATAGATATATAGCCTATATACATAATAGATATATAGCCTATATACATAATAGATATATAGCCTATATACATAATAGATATATAGCCTATATACATAATAGATATATAGCCTATATACATAATAGATATATAGCCTATATACATAATAGATATATAGCCTATATACATAATAGATATATAGCCTATATACATAATAGATATATAGCCTATATACATAATAGATATATAGCCTATATACATAATAGATATATAGCCTATATACATAATAGATATATAGCCTATATACATAATAGATATATAGCCTATATACATAATAGATATATAGCCTATATACAAAATCAAAATGTGTAAGTTTTTCTGTTTGTTATTTTATTTAGTTGGCAATTTTGACGTTCAATTTAGCGTCCTTGACATTTATTAGTTTATCGTGAAAAATCTCCAATAGAATTTTATATTTCTGCCCTAAATATAATAAAAAGTCAAAATAACTAATCGATGTAAGCATAATGAGTATGATCCAACAACCTTACAATAGGTGAGACTGGATCTAGAAATCAAGGACGTTGTGATTTGATCTATAGGTAATGAGTAGAAACTACAAGCTTTGAACGTTACCCTATCTCAACCAATCTTTTGAGTGCTATGGTAAAAATTGTTTGGTTTTATAATCTTTTGTTATTTGTAATGCACAATGGTAATACACAGTTCATCAAAGATTTTTTTTTAAATATCATTATTATTGACGGAATACCCAAATAAATCGCCATCAAATAGTCATTTCTAGGATTTCAAGATGGATGCGCAGCATTGCAGTTCACGCGATAATATGAAAAACTACTTATTAATTGTTTTTTAAAATAATGTCCAACTTATATGCATACTAAATAGATTTTTTTCTCTTTAAAAAAGTAAATTTGTGTGTAAATGTAGTAGTTTGTATGACAAAACTTACATAGCTTAGCAATACTAATGTAAAAAAAAATAATTTTTGACAGTTTAAAACCATTTGCAAAAATGAGTTGGAAACATGGTTGCTAATGTCTCTCCCCTACTAAAGAGCTTCCTGTGTTTGTTACTATTAATAGTGATTAGTTGTAAAAGTGGTGTGTTTTTATGAAAAAACTGCTAGCGTAAGTGATTTTAAAAATTAGATTTTTCGCTTTCAGAAAGAAAAAAGTAGCCGTTACATCAGAACTTTGAATTGTCTAAAATATTATGATGTCAGATTTTCACTAGTTTTCGAGTTCTAAACGGGACGGACGGACAGACATTCCACACAAAACCAATAGCGTCATTTCCCCTATCGGGGAGCGCTAAAAATGAGAAAAATTCAACTACGTTATTCTGTCTAGTCCAAAATTGTGAGTCTACTGGAGAGTATCTATAATTTAGAATTTTTAGAACAAATGATTTTAAAATTATGAAATTGAAGCTTCAGAAGTCGCTTGGTGGCTGGATTTTGATCCTTACCAATGTCTGACTAGATTGATCTAGGGACACGCGTAAGACGTAGCCTAATTATCTTCGTTTTTTTTGAAGTAACGTCTGTATTTTATAAGATAAAAACATTACAAATACTCCTTCTTCCCTAGTGCTACTAGAACATGGAATAGGTTGCCTGAGTCAGCCAGGAAAACCAATGACTTGACAGAATTTAAGTCAAGATTTAACCGACTTTTTAAAAATTATACACAACTATTTTTATCATTAAGGATTTCAATCATTGTTAACGCATGCACGCCATTGCTTTTTCAACAGTTTGTTTAGTATAGTGGTCATTTACAAAACTTGTATCAACTCACTTTGTCTGTCTGGTAAAAATTCGTACACGTTATTTCTCTCACACCTAATCTCGGATCAAGCTGAAATTTTGGACAATAATTTATTTTACTAGACAATACAAGAATAATTTTTTTTTAAAGTTACTTTCGGTAATTAATATGTTTTTGTTTGGTATCAAACATTCACTGCTCTTCATTTAACGATAAAAATAATTTAAAAAAAAAATGTTTAATTATAAATTATCTTTTTTAAAAAGAAACTTTTGCTAGAAACGTTTGTGCAGCTCAGTTTTAGTTAATCCCGACTTACACATAGAAAGCTATGCTTCATGCTCATCAAAAGTATCGGAATAATCTTCGTCTTGCCGCCCATGCTGGCCTGATCGCTTTCTATTGGCTTGGCGACAAAAAGTCGTCTTCATGAAATGGGACTAAATCGATGATGCTCGATTCCAAACATGTCGAAACTTTTATTGGAGAAAATAAAATTGAAATGAATCAACTTGGCTAACTACGTCATCCGAGCAGACGTAATGAAGTTATAAAGAAAGAGAATATTTTATTTACAAAGCATACATGGACTCATTGCACAACTTTATTATTGTTAGTCTAGATCTATTACAAATTTAAACTAATTAAGAAACACAATTAATATAAACTTTGTCTTTAAAACAAAAAAAAATTTTCCGTTTAAATGGTGCACCATTTGTTTGGTACCGGTGAGGTCAAAGGGAAGCAACACTTGATCAAATCTATTAATAGCCATATAGATCTAGAGCTGATGAAAAAAAAAGTCATGTGTAAAGTGGAAATTCATCCTTATTTTTTTCTCCCCCCCCCTCCACACACACATAAAATGCCCTACATAAATTCTTTCTTGAGATTCTCAATTAAATATAAAAAATATCTACCCCCCCTTTCTTTTTGGCATTTATTTTTAGTACTCTGCATATAGACTTATGAAAACTTGAAATGTTTACTTAGGCCCACATTTATCAAGGCAGACACACTGATATACTAAACAGGAGCTTATAATGCAAGAAATTGATCTTTTAATGTTTAAACTGTAAAGTACTGCAGGAAATAAAATAAAGGACAAACTTACATCAAATGTCATAATGAGCCAATCAACAAATTTACTAGACAGAGATAGCATGTACAACAGGATGCCATAACCCAATGTCAAAGAAACAAGAATAGAAATCAATGCATAATTTGATTACATTCAGACAAGACATAATCTACTAGATTGTGAGCATACCAGTACTTTAATTACATTGTAAATGCAAAGTGGAAGGCTAAAACAAAATTATTTTTAAAGAAAAACAAAATATAAATTTCAATAAATATCTATTTCTATTTAAAACAACAACTGTTAATTTAACTCAGTATTAGTTGGCAGCATGTAATGAGATTTGGGGGGGGGGGGGGGGGGGGGGAATCCAACAGTCTGGTATTTTTAATTATTTTTTTTTTAATTTCTAAATTTTATGCTTGTAGGTCTAACTTTTTTTTTTCATCATATTTTTTATGACAGAAAGTTACAAAGAGATGCTTGGCTTCATGCACACTTTTTGTTTATATAGGTAACTGGTTATAAAGATTATACTCACGAGTCCCATCACATAAGGTTGATTTCTTTTCATAAGGTTCATTACTTATGGAGACTCATCCTACAATTTATCCAGCCACCTTTTATTAGCAGCATTTACAAACTTGGACTAAAATAATGCACAAAACTCAATAACCTACAAAAAGTAAAAATTCACCCATAAACTCTTGGGTTCAGGTATTTGTTAAGGACATAATTGGTGATTATCTTTTATACATACAAAGTAAACATACACAAAGTAGAAGTTAAGTGGATTACTTGGCAATGATTAAATATATAAGCTGCTTCTAACCAAGCCTACCACAATGGCATGATGGTGAATTCATACTGTTGTTTATTGAGCGATTGGTGAAATCCCCAATTGATACATTGAAAGAACAAACAAATACTCCCTGCCTGAAAGAGGAGCCCATAAACACATTTAAGATACCATCAGCTGTTCCAGTGAAGTGCACTAAACACAACCAGTTATGTGTAGTGGAACAAAGCAGAAAATGGTTTATGGACATGAACTATTCAAAGTAAACTCTGCTGTTCTAAGCCTGTGTCTCACTACTTTGTGTAAGTCTACTTACTCACTACTCCTGTGCTTGACTCAACAATTCAAGGATATTTGGGTAATAGCAAATAAGTCAGCAGAAGATAAAGCTAGCAATGGCAAACATTCAATAAATGATAATTTAGTTAGTAGAAAAAAAAGAAAATTAACACAAATTGTTGGTGCATATCACTTGCAGCATACAATAACTTAAGTCTTCAAGAAGAAATGAAGTGTTATTCTACTTTGGTAAACAGTAACATTACACTTCACAAAGATATAATGAAACAATTCAAGTTGATGATAAAAATAATAAATATCCTTCACCATCTTATGCATTCATATATTCTGGTAGCTGTACAACTTTTGTAATATATCACATAGTCAACTTGATTGAAACAACATAAAATATAATTTAAAACTAGTTCACCACTGATGGAACTAAAAAAAAAAAAATAACAACCAACTCTTAGACTTCTAAGGAATACAGTTAGAAAACCATGTTTTAAGAGCAAATACTTTGATAAAGCATTTAAACTAGCTGTCTTTATGAACTCATTGATACATCAAACAAAATCAAAGCATCGCCTACAAATAAAATGTATTTTTCTTGAACTTAGTTGGGATTCAATTGAAAGTGAAGTACAGAAACAGAGACAACAAAAACCTGCCAGTCAAACATTGCACACACAGAATTATGGAGCCTTCTACTCAAACTCAATGAACAGGAGAGAAAACATGATTCTGCTATTGGAGATCTTCATGCACTGTGGAAAAACTTTAAACAACAACTTGCTAATTGGTGTATCCAGTTAACGAAAGAAAGGAAGCTGTATCTTCAAAGTTAACTGATTAGTTTTTTGTTTCCCTTTTTCACACAGCAGAATTTTTATTTAGTTGGCTGTTGTGAAGTTCAATTGAGCATCCTTGACATTGTTTAGTTTCTAGTGAAACTCCACTTCAGATTTGTCAGCAGGTGCAAGCATGTTGGAACATGACTAAGATAACAACGTCATAGGGTCATGTCAGTTTTTCATACACAGTCACACTCAAATCAATTAGTTATTCAATTCAACAAATATTGAAAGTTTTTTGACTGGATTTGATTTACCAAAACAAAGATGAGCTGCTTTAAAATAAAGCATATTTATTGACATAGTCATCTTCGAGTGTAGAATCATTTAAATTAGTTCCAGCATATCTGATTGAGATTTTCATGTTTAAAAAAACAAAAACAAAGCAAGAGTTGATAACTCACTGTCCTACTAAATGCTCAAGAAATGGTGGTTTAATTGTAACATATTTGTAGCAATAAACTTGGCTCACATTTTAGAAATATTTTCCTCCTACATCTAAAGCTGTCTTGAAGAGATGACTAGCACAAAATCACTAAGTTTTGATGAAAACTAGTCAAGAGTACATTAAACAAATGTAGTGGGGTAGTATATAAGAAAATATAATTTACAAATGGCCCATTAACTTGAAAAAACTGAAATTAAATGTTCTGCTTTCATAAATTATGACTCCAAAAGAAAATTTAAAAAAAAACCCCATTTTTGTTTACTTTTTGACACCTCCAAACAACCATCCTTTGACCATTCCTGTCAGACCTCCACCAGCTGCCTTCTTCTGTTCTAACTTATCTTCTAATGATGGGAACTCTATATGATTTAATGCTAAGTCAAAGAACAGAGGGCGACATGGAATAGGTTCAAACTCAGGAGGGAATCTTGTCAATGTTGCCTTTTTAGATGTCAATGATTTCTCAAGCAAGTATTCATCCAGTCTGTCCTCAAGTGGCTGGATGAAAAAAAAAATATGTTAAAAAAAATGTTTCAAGTCATTATGTCTTAATCAGAAGAAACATTTATTTTCCCTGAAAGTCAACCTTTCAGCATGTCCCACTGGTTGAGAAAGGCTTGCTGTATGATTTTAAAAATATAACATTTCATCACACTGCACACAGTTATCTTCTCATTGTTTTCTTCAAGCAACATTTCATCACACTGCACAGTTATCTTCTCAATGTTTTCTTCAAGCAACATTTCATCACACTGCACACAGTTATCTTCTCATTGTTTTCAACTATGTCCAGTCTAAATCTTTTTTGTTTTGATCTAGAGTCTGGATCTAAGAATGTTTTACATAGAATGTTTACATCTTAATCTAGCTCTGATCATGATTAGCTCACAAGCAAAGTGAAAGTCTTGTGGATTGCACACAGGAATATACAATTTTGTTTTAAAAAGGAAGTTTATTGAGCCAAGACCTAATAATTAGGCTTGACCTAGAAAATAGGGACGAGGTGGAGAAAATTTGATATTCTACCAAAACCGTGATTTTTTGGACTGAATAAATAAACCCACAGGAATAAAAAAAATCTAAGCACTCAAACCGCACATTTCTGAGGTATCCCAGAAAAGTGACACCCTTGGTCTTAATAGTGCAGCACAAGGCTTGAGCTTATTCCTTACCCTCTTATCAGTGACTTGTGTAGAAAATGTCTGTTCTCCAGTGGAGCTGGAGTCCAATATGCTGTAAGCTTGACATGAGAACATTTGTCCACTAATATGTTGTTCAAGTTCTTCTAATGCAGAGATTTCTTGCTGATCAAACAACAACAAAAAAGGTGTAAAAACATATTCAAAAATATAAAAAAATATTTTAAGGATAACAAAACAAATGAAACCAATGATTAGAGCCCAGGATAAACATGTGTCAAGTTTTCTAAAGTCAATTCCTACAAGTCATGATAAACTTGTATCAAGTTTTGAGCCAAGATGTTTGCTTAAACATTGCATGAAGATATTCACCTTAATTTTGCCATTTTGTGTTTGTTTCTTGAGACCACCAATAGCTTTTTTACAGTTATCCAATGCTCTTTGGTACAGCGACACAGTTTCTTTCCATTTCTTTGCACTGGCATAGGATCTTGCAATATAATATGACCTAAGAGAGAACAACAGCCACAATTTGTAGCAATCATCAATGTCTATCACAGCTTACAATGCATCACTATTTAGTTGTTAGATATTTAAATAAAAATAAGTAATGGTAAAAAAAATGTTTAGATGGAGTAACATATTTACCTAAATGCTTTATAACCTAAAACAGAAGTTTCAATTTCAGAAACTATTGTAGCATCCTCTTGTATACCATGAAGATTTGGAATATCATTTAGATTCTGTCATAATATAATATAACTATTTATTTGTCGCTGTAATACATTTGTATAAAAAAGTAAAAACTGATGTATTTAAAACATGAATGACACAATGCTTTAAGTTAGAAAAAGACATTTAAACTGAAAATACACAAATGAATCTGACAGTTAGTTTAAGTAAATGTATCAAATTGTTCACATTAATAATTAAAATAGAAGTTACCTGTATGATAATGTCATAAAGTCTAACCAAATCTTGAGGTTTTGTAATTTTACGTCCTTCCTCTCTGTTGTTTTCAGGTAAATTTTGCTTTAAATTTTCTATCATAAGTAAATTTCTATCCACAGTTGTAGTCAAACGAATATACATTAGGTATGAATGCAGATAGTGTTGGTTGGATATCTTTCCTTCAATAGGTTGACCCCGCACAGCTGCCTTAAACACCTAAAAAAAACACAACATTTTATAAGTTGAATTTCCTTTTTTTAATTTCATATTTTGTAAAGATTAAAACTGGAACCAGAGAAACATTCCCCTATTGCATGGCATGGCATCTGGGAATGCTGATAAGTCCTTCAAACCTTTTTTTTTTAATGTTAAACTATATGGAGAACTGCCTGATCAGTAAATCACAATGCAGTTTATCTCAGATACCCTCAAATATAAAAACAAAGAAGTAAAGTTTCAATACTAATTATTGGTTTGGAATGAGAGAATATCTTTCCAGTTAAGCCTATTTGAAACAAATGTTTTCCCCAATATATATATATATACCATTCTTTAAATTGTATTGTTTTGCTGTATATTTATGTTTAGGTACAATGTAGCACAAATTTCAACTCTGTCAAAACTATCGCACCAACAGCCTATTTGCCATCCCAGGAAAGTACTGTTAAAAATTATACTAAATAGACTAAAACCCATAGCAGAGAAAATCATATCAGAAGAACAAGTGAGTTTTAGACAAGATCGCAGCACAACAGAACAAATCCTAAACCTCAGAATTCTCTGTGAAAAATATCTCCAACACCAAGAGAATATTTTCTTTATTGATTTCAAGAAAGCTTTCGATCGAGTATGTCACAGGGCACTCTGGAAACGTACATTAATAAAAACATAA